GGCCATTTCAAAAAATAGCCAAGCTCAAGACGGGCAAAAATATGGGTTGGAGATCCCTGCCATTGAACGGGCATTGAAGAAAAACATAATCATTAGAAAGAGGAAGAAATTCTGCATTGCGCAGTGCTTATAGCGTTCGCTATCTTTATTTTAAGTAGTTTGAGCATGGGTCTGAATTACCGCGCGAACTTTCGGACCGACCTAATACATTAGGTGGGTCACAAAGTTCGTTCGCCAAAATTTCAGAAAATCGTAATTTCCTTTTGACTTGAAGGATTTCTCTAATTTTATACACATTTGAAAGAGGAAACCCTTCTCTTTACAGCAGTACCTTTGCTATAGATTGTTATGAGGAAGTTCGAGAATTAGAAGCAGGCGAAGGAAATTAATCAAGATTTTCGTTTTCAAGGAGGGTCACGAGATCTAATAGTATTACGTCGTTCCGTAACTTCGTAGCGTTTTCATTTTTGTCCTCATATCTTTGAGGGGCGGCTGATTTGCGGCAAGATGCGCATATCGTTTGGAAAAGCTGATTGTGCTCCTTAATATGCCTACTAATTTCGGTGGGAAGCTGATTTACTCGGATCTTGCAGCTTCCAAAGATGGAAATCTTGAAAGGCAAAGAAGAGCAATTTCGGCATTTGCGCATTTTCCCTTATGAAAAAAGCATGGATTTTTGTGTCTATTATGGAACATGGCACTCGCACATCAATATGAGACCAAAAAGGATTGGATTGCTACAAAAGATCGGGGGCTGAGCAGGGTGTCCCTGAACAAGACTTTTCGGGGGATGGGCAGGACGTCCTGCGCTGAAAATTGCTATACAGGTAGGCAATGGTCAACCATACCGTAAGCAATTCAACTGCACTGTCCAAACCAGGTCTTACCGCAGAAAAAGGTCCAATAAACAGATCCAGTGAGTTTTTCTGCACGACCTCTACGACAAACGTCGTCAAAACTGTCCTGCGCGATTTGACTGGAAGGTATTTCAGTATCCAAAGAACTCTCCAAATCAGGCTCTATCAGATTATCATTTGCTACTCCCTTTGGCAAATGAATGATGCCTGTCTCGATTTCAGTAAATCGTTTTAGCGCTGCTTAGATGACTTTCTTGAGACCCGGCGCGCTGCCGTACGAAAAACTGAGGTTGAGAAGGTAACAAGAATGTGCCAAAAGGTCGTGCGCTACAACGAGGAATATAATTTTGATTGATTTTTACTGTAAACTGATGGTTTTGATGGTTTTTAAAAACGCTACGAACTTATGGAACGACCTAATATTTTACTTTGATGGAGAGAATTATGCTTTTTTCAATAGTGCTTCTCCATAAATTAAAACGAAAAAAATCGGTAATTATAGGCAAATAAAGAGAATCAGTTAGTTCTGCAATATTTGAGCATGCTCAAAAAAGCATAAAAACGCCACACAAAAGGCGGAGAAGTCACGAACATGGGTTTTGTGATTTTCTCTTTCTGGGAAATTCGTGCCAATCTAGAGCAAATCTGTTTCTCGTAAAAAATGCCGAAAATCCGGAAATATCGCGAAAAACAAAAATACCCTCGATTGAAAAGATTTTTGCTCAGCTAGATGGAGAAGGTCACAAAACTGGAGTTTGTTCCCGTCTTTTCTGTGACGTTTTTATGCTTTTTTGAGCACGGTTAAAAATTGCAAAACTGAAGCAATTATCTTTATTTGCTTCTAACTGTCTTTTTTCGTTTTAATTCATGGAAAAGGCACTGTTGAAAAGAATGATTTTCTCCATCAAACAAAAATTCTTTCAGAATTTTTCGTGACCATGCTTGAAAATGAAAATCTAGAATTATTTCCTTCACCTGCTTCTAACTCTCGGACTTCCTCATACTAATAAATGAAGGTAATGCTGTAAAGAGAAAGGTTTCCTCTTTCAAACGAATTTGAAATTGAAGAAATCCTTCAGGTCGAAAGGAAGGCTGTGGGAACAGCACAGCATCACTTCGGCAGGAACATAAAAACTTTTGTTTTCTTGATTTCTGTCCAGGGAAAAAATAAAGCAACAATGTCTATAAATGCCCCATGTGGATAGTGACCTATGAGCAAGTTAGGAATATTTTAGGATTTTTTCTTGAAAGAGTTACGATATTTCCTCTATTTTCCGGGAGGTTAAATCTTTATTTTTATCTTCAAAATCAAGCAAGAACGTCATTTTGTAGAGCTTGCTTTGCTTTAGCAAATGGTACCTCGAGACTCTGAAATCAAAAAGTTTATGAATTATTGCGATTGAAAGTCAAAGTGGACGGAACTTATGGGACAACTTGATAGGTTCATTTTGGTGTGCGCCATAAAATGGCATTTTTATAACTTTGCGACAATGAACAATGTACATCCGTCGTATTAGGTTGATGCATAATTCCTGCACCAAAATAGGTACAGACCGCAATAACTCGGAATAATCCTATATCCCAAGTAGGATTCGATACATCATTTGATAGCGCAAGCCTAGCTCTACAAGATAATGCCCAAATATCTACACCAGCTTTGATACACGCGAAGTTTTGAGCCAAAAACTGAAAAAAACCATGTGTCCGAAAACCTTAAGACAGATCTTAAAAAAATTGTAGCTTCGTTCAGAAAGCTCATACAAATTTTCTTTCTTGCTCACGCGTAGACGTTCCACGTAAGACATTTATCTATGCGGTTACTGTATTTTTTTCTCAACTAGGCGATGAAAAAACGAAGTTTTTTGAAGTTTTTCATGTTTTTGCCAAATTAGTGCTGAGATGTTCTAGTATCAACCGTTGTATAGTACATGCCGTTAGCAGTGAAACTTTACATTTTCAGCCTTCTAGAACTGCTAGTTCGCGAGAAATAACGAATCTAGCTCTCCTTATCCAAATTTTTCTTGCCTAGTTGCTAAAAATCCGATATTTCTCGTAAACCAGCTGCTCTAAAGAGCTGAAAATTTACTTTCACGCTTCTAAGGTTCTATACTATACAACTGTCAGTGCTAGAACATCTCAGCATTGTTTTGGAAAAAACATGAAAAACTTCGTTTTCTCATCGTCTAGTTGAGAAAAAAATACAGCAACCGCATAGATAAGTGTCTTACGTGGAACGTCAACGCGCGAGGAAAAAAGAAAATTTTTATGAGCTTTTTGAACGAAGTTACAATTTTTTTTAAGATCTGTCTTAAGGTTTTCGGACGCATGGTTTTTTTCAGTTTTTGGCTCAAAACTTCGCGTGGATCAAAGCTGGTGTAGATATTTGAGCACTATCTTGTAGAGCTAGGCTTGCGCTATAAAATGATGTATCGAATCCTACTTGGGATATAGGATTATTCCGAGTTATTGCGGTCTGTACCTATTTTGGTGCAGGAATTATGCATCAACCTAATATATCCACCATCCATGCTGGTCTGTTGTATGGTTGTAAAGAAAGTTCCCGGGCACTTGCGGAAATTTTTTTCAAATCGCTGTAACTTCAAGCTGATTGAATCTTTTTTGAAGCTGCAAACTTCATTGCGAAGACAATTTTGTCCACAGCATATGTTTGTCTTGCTGGCTTCTCGGCACCTCACCGCCGTCCACCAGCATGCGCAGAAGGGAGAAAGGTCGTCGCGAAAAGTGGCCTATTTGTGCAGGATTATCTCAGGCAGGATAACAGCTGGAGATTCCAGATGCTGTAGTTATGTAGAGTTCTGCTGGGGCTGTTGTGGGAACCATTCATATTTTTGAAGGACCACCTGCACAAAAATTTTCCGTAGAAAGTTTGAAAAATCAACCATTTTTTGCCCCTAAAAATGCACCATTTTTCGAGTAAGTGGCTTCGGTGTCTTCTAGTTCTGCACAGAAAAGATCGAACCTTTGATTACGGTGAATATTGTTGGGGTAATGCCTTACACATCTTTTGGACCCATCGTCCAGACGTGGCGATCCCTGCAGGAGCGACGCCAGCTGCGAAAAGAGTTGCAGTCAAAGGCAAGTTTGACACCTTGTAATTTCTGAGCACAAATCGCAAAACTCGAGTGCAGCTGCGGGTCAGAAGTTTACAAGTTCCTCAATCAGATCACTCATGAATTGGACGAAATTCTTTGAAATGCACAGAAAAATGGGCGCAGGAAGAAAAATTGCGAAATTTTTGTGATTGGAAAGATTTCCTTTTTTGATGTGCAGGTCGAACACGTCTTGGCCTCGATAGAAATCAGAAGCGGTAATGAAAACTTCAGGCTTCCCTCTACTGAACAGTATAAAAAACTTGGTGTCAGAGTCCGACCGAGCGCCGAAAAAAGGCGTTTTAAAATGAAATTTCCAAAAGTGCCCGGGAACTTTCTTTACAACCTAATAATAAGCGCTATATAGGCTGATGCAAAAGGTTTGTTTTGAACTTACTCGCAATCATGTACAGTAAAGTTGAACAGATATTCCAAGAAGTATCTCAGACAGAATGTCTTCCTCTTTCTGGCAGCTATGCCCTTGATGCCACTATACGGACGAGCGTTAGGTAATTGGCAAAACTTTTAACTCTTTGTTTTTGCCATGTTTAGCTTTGGTTATTCAAAAAATTGTGCTTGAACATTTGCAGGAACTTCAACATCCATCAGATAGAGCAAACCTTTCACGGATAGAAGCATGTATCACTTCAGTAGGCTTTCTTCAATTTTGCTTCAAAATATCGAATTCTGGGAAATTCGCAAAACTCTAAATTGCGCGAAACACGCAAAATTTTGTAAACCTCAGGATAAACCTAGAATAACAATACCCCTAGTTTTATAATGCAGATCAGCACTTTTCGCTTCGAAATTTGAAGTTTTGAAATTCAAGCCAAACAGTGTACACTCGTAAAATCTAGAAATATGGCGATTTTGTTTGCCATCAAAAGGCAATGAAAATATAGCTTTTGAGAGATTAAGGAAAATTGCATTGAATGGCGCTGAAAACCGTGAAATACCTTTTGATTTTTCTCTAATAAACAAATAAAAATTGGTTTTATTCTTATTCTTGAGAAACTTTTATGATATTGCGTTTATGTGTTACGACATAGGATGCATGCCGCATGTTAACGCGTTAAGATGGTGTGAAATCGAATTGTCATGTGTTCAACACCAATTTGGTAAGGTTGTTGCGAAGGGCTATGTATGACAAACGTTCAGAAGTTCAAAAGTCATTACATTGACATCTATGTTCTTCCTAGCACTGATAATTGAATTTGTTTATAAGCACTTTGAGAGTGTTGAACTTGGGTGTGAAGGAGGCAAAAAGGAGCATCATAAAGAACCACTTTGACAACTTAATCCTTGAATAGATAGTTTCCAGTCAGATTTTTTTGTTGTGATCATTCGGAACTACGACACAATGGAAGGAACCTTTTGTCTTCAATAGTCAGTGATTGTATTTTTGATTGGCTGAGATGTAAAGTCTAAAATGCCTTTTCCTTGCGTAGAATGTGATGTGAAAATTTTCGAATTCTTTCCAATATTCTCATTTTGCGCCCCACAGTGGAGATCTTTTAGTCTTTGTGTACAGAGTCATTTTGAGCAGTCGCATCATGAAAATGAGCTTTTACCGTTTTTTTCTTTCTCCCGCAATAACTCATATCCTTCCTGTTCTCGAATAGTCTACGGTATCATCCGACAAAGCAAAGCAAGCTAGCTCTACAAGACAATGTATGCGAACAAACTTTGCAAACAATTTTTTACAAGTATTTGAAGTGAACTCACCGAAATTTGTGCTTGATTCTGCATTTATTAGTATGAAAGATTAAGAAATTAGAAATTACTGTTATATTGTTATCTTGTGTTTATTATTGCGCTTTATGATAGTAATATGTTTATATATAATTGTAGTTATATATTATTACTAATATGTTTATGTTTCATATTTCATCAACCTCGCTTCAAGTTCAAAGTTCTGTTGATCAAAAAGGGAAGCGGGGTAGAGCAATAAGACCAAAATGAGAGTAATCTGAAAGAAAAACCGTTAAAACTGGTTAAATTTCTCAACTCCCACTTTTTAAAACGCATGCGGGGCAGCTGCAGCGCATGCAGCACAATTCCGGAACAGTTCCAGCACAGTGCAGGAAGTGTGCGGGAACAGTTCCGGAACATGGGAATCAGTATGAACCCAGCCTAAGACCGTATGCAAGTACATCCCCGCTGGGGAGGGAAGGGGATTTGAAAGGGAATGCGTTATATCTGGCTACTCCAGATATCTTTCCTTTTCCTTCTCTATCTTGCTTATGAAGGTTCTCATACCCCTTATACCTGCGCATAATGGATCCAGGTTACTGCCATAGGATTGGTTTTTGCGAATTTGTGTGATCCCCTGTGATCCCCCGGCGATCCCTAGAGGATCACCTCTCATTTTCAAAGTCATTTATCTTTCTGAGAAGTCAATGAAAACGCTGCAAAATCATACTGAAGGTATACTATGGCAACGCTAAGCATACTTTCGGCAGGAAAAATGGCATCGGAGGATTATACTTCCATAATCCCTAGCTCGCGAGCAGTGTTCCATCAAAGACTTCGATATCTTGAGATTTCATTATTTCGACTATAAACATGTGCAGCAGTGCCGTAGTATATCCTCAGTGCAAATTTGTAGCATTTCCAGTGACTTCTCAGGAAGATAAGTGACTTATGAGAGGTGATACCCTGAGGATCTTCTGAGGATCCCCATGGAACACCCTACACAAAATGGCAAATAAACCAATATCCTATGGCAGTAACCTGGCACACATTATGCGCAGTATAAGGGTATGAGAACCTTCATAAGCAAGATAGAGAAGGAAGAAGAAACAAATCCCGCATCCCCTTTCAGATCCCCTCCCCATCCCAGGGGGATGTACGTGCATACGGACCTAAGACGTTATCATGGTGTCAATATGCGACATGCAAGATTTCATGTCGAAACATCAAATGGACGCAATATCATAAAGTTTCTCAAAGGCAGTGTTTGGGCAAAAAGTCGATTTTGAGATTTTGTGCTTACCCGGGCCTATTCACTATGCTGATTCCGAAAATCCACATTGAAAAGCGCGAAAACGGAATAAAAGGGCTCTAACGCAGGAGGTAAATCGGAAGTGGGCGGGGTCCTCCCCACTGTGATTTTCGCAGTCCCAGCTTCTGAAGCGATCTTCCCAATTTCTCTAGCGCCCTGAGATCTCCACCGTCCAGGTGCGAACATGCTTGAAATAGGAACCGAGAAGATCGCTCTGGAAGCTGGGAGTTGAATTCACAGTGGGGAGGACCCCGCCCATCTGCTGATTCCCCTCCCGTGTTAAAGCCGTTTTTTCGCCTTTTTCGCGCTCTCCAATGTGCATTTTCGGATTCAGCGTAGCGATTAGGCCCGGATAGGCAAAAAATCTCAAGATCGAGTTTTTGGCCGGACACTGCCTTTAAGAGCAAAAATGAAACCGATTTCACTTTGTTTATCAGAGAAATAATGCGATCAGAAGCTATTCCATAATCGTCATGTTTACGACCTACATGGTGAAGATATCCGAAGAAGTAATGGCACATCGAAGGGGGGGGGGGCGGGAGGGAAACAGCAACAGCCCCTCTCCCTGAGAATGGTTTGCGCGGTTTTGAAAATTGCTCAAACGAATTGTATCATAGAATGTGCGAGTGACCTTGTCCTCTACTTGTAAGTAGTGAAAAAAAATATTCATAAAAACACAAATACAAACACACACGCATGCACACACATATATACACATACAAATCAAGACGCGAACACATACACATACACACATACACACATAGATATACACACAAGTACACGCATACACATATACACAAATATTACACAGAAATAGACACTGACAAACCACAAGTACAAAAACACTTAAACACATGTTCACATAAGCACATATATACCTTCAAAATACACGCCTTAATTAAGTTAATCCAGGTTTTTATCTGCTCTAATTTAGTTCGGAAATGTCTGCTCCATTGACATTAGTCCTTTAGAAAATTTTGAACAGAGTGGACGCTTCCAGAAAAGGTCAGTAATAGGAGTTTACCTCTTTTATATTTTACTTACTTTGGTTAATATATTTCATATAAGTAAGCATGTTAACTAGTTAGACTACAATAACTACATTATAATTTTTAGATTTATTCACACCAAGGATTGAAGACCAAGAAGACCCATCAGTCGAAGGTTGAGGTTAGTTCCCTTGTTATTATTTTCTATCCATACGATCTTCCCTCTACTGATAATTTCCGGGGAAGATCGTACTCTTATCCTTTTCCGTCTAGTGGAAGGAATGAGACGGAATTGGATATCTTTTAATTTATTTTATTTTGTTACTTTCTCATTTATTTTAGTTTTCTTATTTGAATAAAGCATTCGAATAAAATCTATACGAAACCCCGTTTTTTGATTATTCGAGTTTTCGAATAATACTCAAATCTAGTTTTTTGATTATTCGAGTTTCGAATTTTATTCGAAATCCCGTTTTCTCAATTATTCGAGTCGAATATTATTCGAAAATGGAAGAACTCCGAATATCGAATTTCGAATACGAATATATTCGAATGTTTTATTCGAATGATCGAATTTCTATTCGACTCGGACCCAAGTATACTGCCAACCTAATGCCCACCTAAGGTTGGCAAAACTTCCATTCACATGATTTCTTCAAGATTTTTACATAAATCTGTTTACACTTAAAGCTTAGTATATGGTAACATTTGGGTCCCAAAATTCCTCCCCTCCTCCTTATTAGGATCCGGAATAGAAAGGCGCCCGTCCTTCCGAGAAAGAAAGCGAGCTTCAATCGAACAAGCTACGCAGCTGGCGGGATCAATGAAAAGTCGTAAAAATCGATAGTGGCAAGAGCGAAATCTTTCCAGCGATGTTCATTTGCCACGCTCGTGCTAGGCCCTGGCCCTTAGAGTTGCGAGATACACAATCGCTTCAAACATTGACAAACCTTCAGAATTTGAGGCTTCCATAGACAGCTTATTATTTAGCGCTGATTAAGCATTCAGCAAGCAATTAAGCGTTTAGCGGCTCGAAATTTTGGATTCCTAAGTTTCTGATTATAGCTTGGAACGGATCTGGAAACAATAATTATAACAATTTTATCTTCAGGTATTAAACAAATCAGGAAGAAAAGAAGCCTATCAGAAAGAGGAGAGAAAGCTACATCGAATGACACCCTGGCTGCTAGCCGTTTATTGTTCTGTAAGGACTGAGATTTCCAAATATGGAATTGGGTAGCATCAGAAAATTATTTTCAGAGATTTTGGAAGCCAACAGAGATGCCAAAAAATGTATTGTATTGCATTTTGTTTAGTCTATCCTGTTATCAAAGCTGGTCCAAAAGTCGAAAATGGTTTTAAAAAATAGACAAACTCAAGATGGGTGAATTTATGGGTTGGAGATCCGATTATTGAGCGGACATTGAGGAAACCTGAAGAAAAACATAACCACTAGAAAGAGGGAAAAAATTCTACATTGGATAATGTTTATAGCGTTTGTCTATCTTTATTCTAAGTATTTTGAGCATGGGTCTTAAAACCAGCGCGATTCGGACCGACCTAACATATAGCTTGCGCTTGACACTGCAAAAATAAGACAAATGACTACAATTTCAAGGTATTCAGACATCCACATTGAGAGTCTAATATATCCAGATATATACAGGGTGTCCCAAAACGATGTATACACTGTTTGATCGTTAATAACTCTCTACCTTTTGTGTCTTTCGTCGTGGTTGAGATACCATTCTGTAGAGCGAGGTTCAACTTAGATTTACAATATAGCACACTTCTCTCCCCCAGCTCCTCTTGAACGGTCAGCTGTTCTCCTTCTTTGACATATTTTTAAGGAAATATATCGCTTTAATGGCCTAAAATCCTTTTCGAAGTTGCTACCGTAATCCTACAGTAACAAAGGATGATTGATGATCCATTCCATGCTGCAAATCTAAGTTGAGCCTCGCTCTACAGAATGGTACCTCAAGCTGGCGAAAGACGGGACAGCAAGAGAGTTATTAACGGTCAAACAGTGTGCACATCTTTATGGGACACCCTGTATTATACAATACTTGCACTTCAGAAATCTTTAGAATTTACAGAAACTGAACCAATCACGCGCTTTAAAGAAAGGGTGATAGAGTTAGCTATAATAGGACTTCTAAAACAAATGGATGGGGATTTTATATTTTTATGTGTAGACTTTATCATATACTAATCAATAAGACATTTTCAACGCGTAAGTACGGAATTCCTAGTACCGTACATTTGCCTCTTTTACCTAACCTCCATGATACGTGGGCTGACGCTACCGCGGTCTGAGGCGGCGGGAGTTCTTTATTTGAAGATGAGAATGCTATTTGTCCGGATGTGACAATTATCATTTTCTTTGTCGTATACGTACATGTTGGCGTAATTTGCACTTGCTTAGTCTCTTAATATTCCACCTTTTCGTAGCTTAGACCTCATCTTTGTTTTGAAAATCGCTAATTTTGAAGTTTCTTTGGAATTACTGACGATGGGCATGATGGACATCAAGGAACTTGCACTACCGGTATGTTCTAAGCCTCGAAACCGGATAGTGTAAAAAACATTGAAAAAACATTGAATCATATGCTTTTACGAGTAAAACCTCAAAATCTGTCTTATTGATTGAAGCATTCAGCACTTTAGAATCTAGACATCGCGACTACATTATAATGAAAGGGAAGCATTAATTATTGGTTTTCTCCGCTCTTCAACAAAATTTGTTTTCGCAAGACATTCGTTTTGAACAGAGATCGATCAAAAAACTATTTCTGCCACAAATAGATTCGACACATTACGTCAATGTTGCAAGCTTTTTTTTAATTCGACTCATATCGCTTCCGACGACTATAGCAGCATGGGCATATTGCTCTTTCTGCTTCTTAGCTTTACTTTGAATGTTAAGTGTGCTAAATGGAACGACTGTGATACCTGCATACTCTCCGTGTTCAGTTTTGCGGACCATCAAATGGATAAAGTAAAAGGGGATGTACGTTTTTCATATATTTTTGAAGTTATGTATGTGGAGTAAGATTTTAGAGGCTGAAGCAAGTCTGTAATCTTGTGAGCACACACGTCGGAGACTCCAAGCCTCTAAAAGTATGCGACACGGTCTTAAGGGAAGTTGTTGCCAATAAAGCGATTTTCCGGAAGATGCAGGTTTGTGAACTAAAAATCTTGATGCCATTTTTCTAAGAAAAAAGTTTCAGGAATACAAAGCGAAAGGACTGAATATGAAATGGTTTTGTGCCGAAGAATTGTCAAAACCCTACTGTACGTCCAAAGTTCCACAATAATTCACTTATGTTGCTTTTTTGCATTTGAATTGCGGTTAATAAAGACGGCATTTTTGTAGGCAAAATAAAATTCCTCCCATTTGTTTGAGCGTTTATAGGAGTCGTGGATTATTTGCAACAAATTCAGTTGCTTTAGCATTTCGAATTGGGAAATGAACTTTGATTGCCTACGAAACCTCTTGATCGTGTGCTCCAAGATAGAGAATCATCGATTTCGCATTCTTTCATTGGGGTGGGTATATGAAATGTCTGTTTTGCGCTTATCGCTCAGACTTTCAAAAGACTTCTTACCCAGCTGCAACGCGGCTCATGAAACCATAGCAAACATCAGCTATTCAGATGAGGAAGTGAATATGTCCAAGCATACTAAAGGCAATCAAGCACCTTACCGGTTTTGTTAGCTGAAATGACTTTAAAAAGTAATTACGTACCGTTACTTGTTAGCTTGTCCAGTCAAATCAAAAAAGAGAAGCAGACGAAGGAAATGCGCTAAATTTTAGGGGTTTTAATCTTACAAACGGTGAAGTAGCGAGGTGTGTGCAGTGCACATAATGAGTCAATTGACTCAAATCTAGCATCAAACACAATGTAATCTGTAAGCAGAGTATGTTTTTTCTTTTGCAGAATTTATTAAGTGAGCAGATTATTAGCAAGCTTTTGTTGTCTTTTACGAGCTCAACAGCCATGCATAGTAGTGATCTAGAGAAGTGCCACTTTCAGCTAAAAAAACTCCTTTCTAGCGTCTGCAAAAATTTGAGTTTGTAACCTGAAGAGCCGCTGAATTTGAGCACCTAATTTTTGTCAACAACGTGCTATGGTCGTGCTTATAGTAGGATTTGATATCATATGACCCTAGCTCCGATCGAGGATCGCATGTCTCGACTAAGGCTTTCGTAAAATACGTCAAGTCATGATTGTCGGTCTTGCTGCTGTTTGACAGATTTTTCATTGGCATTTCTTAGCGAGCTCACCAGCATTTGCGCTTGAAGAAGGTAGGAAATCTGAATTCATTAAAATCAAGGTTTTGGCATTTTTAATACCCTCTGCGGGCATGCAGCGAACGCACTGTACTTTATAGTCGGAAGTACTGCGAGTCTCTCCCAACGACTTGCGGTGGCTGCAGATTATCAAGACAATGCTTTTATCCCCCAGATTACTCTATTATCAAAATATTGCCCTGGGGAGCGTAAGGGTTCGATTTTGATCTGGTCATAGCCTCATGCCATTACGCCACTCGTCCTCCTGCATTCATGATCAAAATTGAAATTGCAGTATTTTGTTTGCAATCCTAGACTAAATCCAGGGTGAGATACAGCTGGAACCGTGTCAAGCAGGACATCTTTTTTGAGAAAAAAAGCAACGCGGATATCGTCTTTACGTCGGCATGCCGTTGCCTGTTAGCATGTCCGGGACATACCGCCGGCAGGCTACCGGCACGCCTCCGGCGATAGGCCCATGACCAGTAGTTTTGACTAGTAGTAGACCGATAGTTGCGATAGGGGGAGTGATGGATCTTACCCCCTTCACTTTGAGGCCAAACTCCCGATGACCCCCTTCACCTGGGCTGAGATTGATATTGTACTCTGAGAATATGATAAAAATCGTTATGAAAAGCAGGCTAAGTACCTCAAACAACAAGTACACTCATAATTTATTAAAGAAACGGTATTTATGTTTATTTATATTATTTATTTATCCTCGTAGCATTTTGGAGAGCAGAAAGTGAGTACACAAAATCAGTTAATTTTTGAAGCACATGAAACCCCTCATATCTCGCGGCACAGAAGACCTAGAAAAAAGTCGACGGTCTACGTCAATTCTCCATGATTTCTGCTTTCGAATGGTATACAGCATGTTAGAGCTTCTTTGCTTCCCGGCTCTAATTTTCATTTGCTCCGGTAACCGATAAAAGCCAATACATTGGTGGAGCTGGGTTGGAGCAAGCTAATAGTAAATATTTCCACCCCATTTTTGAAAACTGGTTAGTTTTTTCGCCCAGCAACCTATATAACATTCGAAAGCTCAAGAAAAGGGGATTCGACCTAGACCATCGACCTCTTTCTAGCCCCCCTCTACCGAGAGATACGCCGCATTTTATTTGAAAACATGGTCATTTTCAACAGCAGATTTCTGCCAAATGAAGACCTAATCACTGCTGATTATCCATCTGTGTTAAAGAGCAAGTCTTCATCAACAAACGTACACCGTCGACTTTCTCGTAGCGTTCATTTGGAGAGCAGAAAGTGAGTACACAAATCAGTTAATTTTTGAAGCACATGAAACCCCTCATATCTCGCGGCACAGAAGACCTAGAAAAAAGTCGACGGTCTATGTCAATTCTCCATGATCTCAGCTTTCGAATGGTATACAGCAACTTAGGGCTACTTTGCTTCCCGGCTCTGAAAGTCATTTGCTTCGGTGACCCATAAAAGCCAACACATTGTAAAGGTCGTCCCGAAAGTTTTTGCGCACGATTTTCAAAAATTCATAACTTCTGATTTTTTCAACCGATTTGACTGCTTTCACTTTTATGTGAAAGGGAAGTCATGCTCTTTATAATGACATCCCAGTTGCTTAGTAATGATCATCTGTTGCATAGATAGAAGCTCAAAACAAAATCACTCAAAATTTGAATTTTTGTGTAGGGTCATAAAAAATCAGAAACTTGCAACAAAATCGGATCAGTCGGTATAGTAGGTTGTTTCACCAGCTCTTTCTAAAGTGCAAAGTTTGCTCCGATTGAGCGTCTCCATGAAAAGTTATAATTTCCGAGCAAGCAGTACAAAAAGGCGAATTTGATTTATTTTGGCATTTTTCAGGGAAATCATAACTTTTCATGGAGAAGCTCAATCGGCGCAAACTTTGCACTGTTAGAAAGGGCTGGTGAAAGAACCTACAGTACTGACTGCTCCGATTTTTGTTGCAAGTCTCCGATTTTTTATGAAACTACACAGAAAATTAAAATTTTTACCATTTTTCTTCTATCGCTCCTATCTATGCAGCAGATGACCATTACTAAGCTGCTGAGATGTCATTATAAAGAGCATGACTTACCCTCTCACATGAAAGTGAAGGCACTCAAATCGGTTGGAAAAATCAGAAGTTATGAATTTTGAAATTCATGTGCAAAAACTTTCTGGGCGACCTAATAAGAGCGAGGTGGAGCAAGTTAATAGTAAAAAATGTGCTGTGGATTGACATCGTTATCAGCATTAACGAGAACGTGAGCGAACGCATTTATTTGAGCGTGCTTATCGTTGTTATATGTTTATGTTTTTTTGGTAAAAAATGCGCTTTTGATTGACAGTTATGCCATCATTATTAGCACACACTCAAAAAACTATGGGAGATTGGTGAATTTCCACAACTACACACAAAAACCCGCCCATTTCTGGAATCTATACTCTATAAACCTAGTGCTGAAGAAGATCACTTTCGTGAAAACGCTCTAGACTCACCTTACCTAATTTGTAGAGAATGGTTGGTTTCAATGAATCAAAAACTCTAAGACATTCAGAAGAATAACATGTTATTAAAATATCCCTCAATGTTTTGGAAAGGTTGGCAGTTTGAAGAGGAAACGGCAGGCAGAAGACTTTATAAAATCGCAGATGACTCGCATGTGTTCCAGTTCAACAGCGAGGCAGAAGGAGAATCTTACGCCGACGAAAATGTTGTCGCCATTAATACAGAGTTGGCAATTGAGCGAAACTCTCTGATTTCCTGCATAAGGAATCCAAGCAGATTGTCTAGTTTCAATGAGGAAATGTCCAGGTAGTCCATTGCTGATCTTCAGGTTGCTGAAGAATTCAAGGCTGCTAAATTCACAAACATGGATATGAACAAAAGGAGGGTGTTAGTACAAAGCATAGTTACTGCACTTAGATCCCGGCTGGAGTGCGAACCCAACTCTGTGCTTTATGCTTTTGAAAGTTATTCGCCTTGTGACAATATGACCTATGATATTGAAAAAAAAACCAATGCGCAGCATAGTATGCTTCATTTTTTAAATCGTGACGACGAGTTGACTGCGGTCTTTCCGCACACAGAAGGATAATACACTCATACAAGCGGCAAACACCTCAACGCTAAGCTCAGTCACTTCCAGTTCCTGTCTACTATCATATGTAAGCAGAAAAACTATTTGATAAGATATAAAAACCAAGAATTGGGAGTGCGTGCGTGTTGCGCGCGGTCGCGTCATCGTCACGATTTTTCGAATGCCCTATACCTCCTTTTTCCGGCTATTCCGCAGATGCTGTTAAAGAAGAAGTTGAGCAGCTTTCTAATCAGCTAACAGGACGTATGCCAGAGGAGGTGAAGCCAGAGTTCGACGAGGCCCAAAAAAGTATGCACTATTTTCATCCCGTGTTGCGAAAGCATATGCGATCTGGCTCTTTTCCCATTACTTACCGCAAAAATCTGTTGGACTTACTAGCAAAGCTAGTTTCCATTCCGACTAGCACGGCAGAGGTGGAGAAAGGAATTTTCTATCTACTCTGTTATCAGAATACAACGCAAAAGTCGTACAACGATAGAGCATCTAAGCAAATACTTAAGATTTGTCAACCTTCTACTAAACACATTGTTATCCAAAAACTTTATTCAAAAAATTGGTATAAGTGGTCCAGACAGGCTGTTACCGTATGACTTTTTAAAATATCCTAAAAGATGCTATGAGGAAACTGGTACCTACCAGCTAACTTCCTGGGGCTACCAGAGGGCCAGGAAAAAAATCACAAAAGCGCTTAAAAAAAGAAGAAAGTTTCAAATCCATTTTCGACTCAGAACGCTTTTGCACGCGATTCTACTTCTACTCCGATGACCCTTTGGAGGAAGAAGAAGATTTTTTAGGCAGCGAACTTGTTGTCTCAGAAGCGATAGTGATATTGTTGATGATGATGTGCAGGAAATGAAGTTGTTCCTAACTTGTACATCTTTTGGGATAAACATTATTGCTTTCGTTTTTTGTTGATGCAGTGAAAGAGGAGCACAGATCTTCATAATCAATTTTTTTTAAATTTTTTAACTTCTTTTGAAAATTTTTAATTTTTTTTTCATTTTGTGCCTAAATAAGGTACAAATTAGAGCTCTTCATACCACGCTTTTTTACCTTTTCTCTCTTCCTCCCCCCCCCCCCCCCCAGACCCACATACCCCCTTCACCCTGGATGGTCGGGAACAGCCGAGACCCCCTTCATCTGGGGAGAGCCCGGCTCCCCCTACCGCACCTATGGGCCTAAGGCATACCTCACGCGATTCCAGTCGCTGTGCGATTTGTCACCAGAACAAATGTTCATAATTGGTCATTGGCGCGCTTTGTTAAGGCAGGACTTGATTTGCAACAAATTACAAAAACTAGGCACCAATGTATTGGAGAATCGCGCACGATAAATCTGGAAACATCTGGCAAACTGCCAGGTCGCGTGAACGTCGCGATTTGGCCGAATCGCGCGAGGTATGCCTTAGGCCTTAGGCCTTAATGTTCTTGAACCTTGAGATGCGGTCAGATCTACTGACAATAACAAATGTTGCTCAAAGTAACCTTTTTGATGTCGCTCATTAGCGCAAAACGAGCATTTCTTCTAACATGTGTGATGCTACCCTCAGAACATGCAATTTGCTTGAAAAACAGTTTATAAATTATTAGTCATAACAATTTAAAGATTGCACTTGGGCGAGAACGTGATCAGTGCAACGATCTGCATCAAATGATACTCATAATTTTTGAAAAATTGTCGAATCAATTTAGTATCGCTAAAAAATGAAATAATCATACTTATCTTGATAGTATGTAGAAATAACGAGGAGGGCTGATTAGACTAAAAGTTGTAAGCGTTGTAGAGCTCTTACGTTTCATTTTCGAGAGATTCAATTCAATTCTTGGGTCAAAACAAAAAACGGCGATTTCAACTACGATATTATATGCAGGAGGACGCTGTGCCGCTATGACCGGATCGGACCAAGGCTTTCTACCCTCCGGACCAAAGCACCGACCTGATTATCGGCTGTCTTGGAAAAGTCACTGGAAAAGGCTCGTACGCATTCATTATTTCGACTATGAAGCACTATGCGTTCGGCGCATGCCCGCAGAGTGGACTACGCCGAATCTTAAATATTACCTCTCCCCTTCGTAAAGCCCAAATGTCGACGAGATCACCTCAAAATGCTTCTAGAAAAAACTGTTAAACTTGCAAGTTCCTCATATCTTGATGTATTTCACGAAAGCCTTTAGTCGAGACATGCAATCACCTCCGAGGGATGACAAAACCGGCAGTTCCTCAGGTTACGACCTCTGATTTTTGCTAACGTTACAAGTCAGGAGGTTTTTCAGCCGAAAGTGACATTTTTTTGCTAAAATCACTTTATGGAACAACCAGTGTGCGCACTAACTTATTAAAAGGTTAGCAGAAGTTCAACATATAAAATCTATTGATTAGGGGTGAAAAAATCAATTTGAGATGTACAGCAACATGTAAGCCGTATTTTTCGTAATTGACTTAGGCTTTTTTTCAAAAACCTTGACTCCTATGAAACACATTTAGCATAGATGCTAGTAACTGCTTAGTTCCGGAATTACCTCAGAAGAACTTGTAGAACCTATCACCTCGTCAGGTCCTTTGATAATAATGTAGCTTCCATCTTATATATAAAGCTGAATGTCTGTTTGTATGTCTGTCTGTATGTCTGTGTGTACGTATGTTCCGAATAGAAAATTCCATTTCTGGACCGATCCGGATCAAACTTGGCACACATACATCGGGCCCCGGCGGGTGTCATAGGCTAATTTTCGTTATCGATCGATATCGATTTTATCGATTTTTCGCAAAATTTGAGCTACGGGAGTGGGAGTTGGCACAGGGGGATAATCGAGCATGCTGATTACGAATACACTATTAGTTCTTGAAATTATTTGTTATTTTTTCGATTTTATCGATTTTTACCGATCTTTTGTGAAGTTTGAGTTATGGGGCTGGAAATTCGCTCAGGGGTGATCGAGCTGCTGATAAATAACACAGCTGGAATAAGGTGTTGGAATTGGTATGTAGAAGTGGGCACAATGAAAGGTTTTACAGATAAAACCTTAATCATAGCATTGACAGGGCCGGGCGGAGCCGGGTAAGTCAGCTAGCCCTTCATAATAGGTGGTGCAAAAGTTTTTGTTAGTTCTTAGAAAGCATCCACAAATCGCGAAAAGTAATGATCAGCGAACACATCAGGAACTATTCAACGTAGAATTTATTGTCTTCTCAGCATACTTGTCGAATTCTTTTGATGTGCGCTGAGATATTTGCTAAAATTTACAACCGCTTTCACCATGCCTAGTCGCTCGGCACAGGTGGCTTACAAGCAAGCTGGATATAGTTTTTGGGACAAAAAGCAAAGGGGTTTCGTTTTCGTGGCCGAAAAGACAGAAAGTCAACGTTTCGTTTTTTGGAGATTTTTTTAGGGATTATGGTCTAGGGTCAAGGGGACTTCGTAAAAATTTGCAAAGGTCAAGGGGGAGTTTGTTTTTGCATTTTCATCTAGCACCTCGTGCCGAGCCCTGTGCCTAATTTCTGCTGATTTTCAGAATGCTTATGATTTTTGAAAGAGCTTTGACAATCAACTTTGAGAGCAAATCTTTTGCAAATCATTGTAGCTTTCTGTAAGTGGAAAAAATACTTTGAGATGACTAAGTTTGTTCGGTCTTTTCTAGCCACGTAGACACTTTGCGACACGGTCGATTGAAAACAAGGTTGCCCTACCTCTAGAATTTACAAGTGTGCGCTGTTTCGCTCTAAATCTCAAAAACTTCATTCTTCGAAGAAAAACCGCTGATGTACTTTATCTTTACAAAACTAGTGCCATTAATGATCTAGTTTCATCTTGAGATTCTGGAAATAATGCGGTGACTGGCGCTTGTGTTTTGCGATTTTCCCAGTTGATACATTTGGAGAATTATTCAGCAACATTGAAAGAAAAAAGCAGAAAAATAGAAAAGTTCCTCTATTTGGGAAATTTACCCCTATCTGCCGTTCGAATAGAGCAATTTTTGCTCCGACCCTTACGTTCGGGAGGGAGGGGAGGGGGGAATTTATGAGGGAGGGCGTGGCGTCAACCAGGCGCTCCGAAAATTTTTTGGTATGTTTCCCAAAATTTTTGCGGATCCATATCTATCCCCGAAACTTCAGGAAAAGGAAGCTTGACGTCAGCCACGTTGCTGGAAAATTTTTATAAGGCTAAAATAGATTTTTGACAAATTTCAAAAAATATTTCTATTGTTTACAAGATTTGCACAATTTTGTAACTAATGTGACTTGTAACATGTAACTTGAGTGACTTTCAAAATTTCGCAGCCCAATCTCGGCCGGGGGGGGGGGGGGGGAGGCCTTCTCCCTCTCAATACGCTACTGCTGGGTACTGAAGGCTCGCAAAAGCTAACAAAAATTTTCAAAAATAGCCAAAGTTAAGACATTGTAAGTTGCAAGCTTCTTTGATTATATCGGCGCTCGGCAAAAATGGCATTAAGGACATAGCTGCCAAAAAAAGAATTGTGCTTCTTGTAACTATGCATCTATTATCTTTACCTACAGGAGTTGCGGATGATTCAAAAAGGAAAAAACAAACGAAACCAGCATGCACGGTGGATATGAGAACCGATGTTTATTGCTGTTTGTCACAAAGCTATAAAAAATGCCTTTTAGGACACATATCTGAAGAAATGCGTATTTTGGTTATTTAAATCAAATTTGCGGCATATAAGTAAAGTTTGTGCTTGACATTAAAACATTCTGATAGTTTCACAACCTGTGAAGATAAGCACTTTTACCTTCTACAAGCATGAATCTACTCCTGATAAATTTTCTGCTCTTATCCATGTACGGAACAACGAGAGTTACCGCAGAATTTACACAACGACCTAAGAACGGCAATAGGTGGTTGTCTTGTAATGACCGCTCATGTAACAAAAAATGTATGACAACGGTAAGCTATCATCGTATTTGCGCATAGCATTGAATACTAGCAAAATATGTCAACGAAAAGCTTTCACAATTCGAATAAAACTTTATTCGCGAATACCAAAAGTGATTTGCTTCATGTGATATTTTAGGGATACGTAGGTGGAAGATTTGTACCCCGGCCATATCTTACCATAGCGCCATATCTACTACCATATCGCCATATCTACAACCGTCCGCCCTGGGAGTGCAGTTGTCACAAGGAAAAAAAATATGGCGTTACACCTAAACCAATAACACCAATTCAACCAACCCCCGGGCCATTCGGTTGTACGAAGCTCACATGTAACAAAAAATGTGTGGCTAAGGTAAGATGTCATTGTATTTGTGCACAGCATCAAATATTAATAAATTACTCAACGAAAAGCTTTCACAATCTGAATAAAACTTGATTCCCGATTACCAAAATGATTTGTTCATGTGATATTTTAGAGATACCCATGTGGAAAGTGTATACCCCTTTCCTTTATTCCGGGATGGAACTGCCGTTGTCAAAAAGAAGAAAAATATTGCGTTACACCTAAACCAATAACACCAATTCAACCAACCACAATTGTAACAACCCCCGCTACAACAATAAAAATTCCAATTCACTTTCATGCCGGCCCTTGTTCAAAGGACCCATGTATCAAAAAATGTGTGGCTGAGGTAAGATATCATCATATTTGGTTACAGAATTGACTCCTAGCAAATCTAATACAGCAATGGCATTGAAGTGTAATATCATAGAGCGAACTCTTGATTGAGTGCGGCCGTTAGTAAAAGAATGGGAAGGGTTTTTTGATTGCTTTCCATACTTTTCGATACGAAATAAGAATGCTGAAAAAGGAAGTTGTTGCCAAACGCTTTTAGAACTCTACAAGCCAGTGCTGCTACAAATTTATTATTCCTTTTACAAGTGTAGTTATTTGCACAGTCATACAATGTGTGTATCGTTCTGAAAATCCGCGCTTTCACCCATCGGAGTGCCCTCCCTCTGATCCACTGCAAAAAAGTTAAGCAACAATCTCCCTATTCTGTCACCTTGTTTCGGTTGAAGGGTAGTACCTACAATGAACACATTTTACTAGTCTTTTGACCATTTTTCTATTCCTTACTTTTGTAACTTCTTTTTTTGGCTGCCTCCTCTCTATTTTTGCCCTTCCCTTAGCGGTAAAAAGAGGCAAAAGCAAATTTCTGTCTAAGTTTATGCTCCATAAGCAAAGCGCTTCATGTCAACGAAAAGCCTTCTAATTCAAATAAACTTGATTCGCGAATATCAAAAGTGAGCTTTATGTGATATTTTAGGGATATTTATGTGGAATATGTTTCAAAAACACCTTCGTTCCGAAGCCGAAATGCATTTGCGTGAACAGTGAGTTCAATTGCGCGCCTCTCTTAAAGTCGCATTCACATTGATTGTTTCGAAACAATGTGAAGTAAAGTTTCAGTTGTAAGTGCAAGCAAAGTCAGTGTACTTCAGTCATTTATTTGCGATGCATAAGTAAACGCAACAAGCTGAATAACTTCGCAACATAAACAGAATTAAGCAGCAACTATATGCGTTGCATCTTCCTTGGATCGTCTCTATTTAAAGAGCACAACATCTTGAGAAATGCTTACCAGCTACAGATACAGCTAACTGCTGACAGTTGACGTTGTTTGGCAGGAAAATTATTGTTAGTCTCCATTCTTCTGTTAAGTACCAATGGATGCGACAAATTCTTTGTTCTTTTGCTGCACGTAAAAATGTTTTTGACTGTACACAAGACCTGTTGAGCTTTTTTGAGAAAAGTAGTGTTCTTCAAAAGTTTGCCTTTATTTTTGAATAGGTATTTCTGTTTGGAAACAAACAGTATCGAAAGATTTATCCTAAGTGCAAGTGATTGAGAAAATTATCAATGCAAAACTACACGTTTCTACTGGAAGGATTGCCCACATGTGAATAAAACAAGATCCGTGAACACCAACTTATAGTCATCAACTGAATATCTAAGAATGCAGACTTGGTTAGAGCTCTTGGCTTACAAAAAATTTGAACAGCGCGACTAAGGCGCCCAAAATCTTTTTGTTTTCGCAAAAGCGGCACAGCAATTTACTAAAATACCTGTTAGCAAAATCTTCTCAGTAAACGGCACCCCATGGCCGAATTATCACTAATTTCATGTAAGAACGAAGTCAAGGTAATTCTATCAATTAGCACACAACTGTACCTCCAAATCCCCCTTTGAAGATTTTACGCCTTACCTGGGGCGATATGCATCATTTACTATAAATGATTGCCCGGCCAGGAAGGAGCGCCCGACTCGTGATGCATGGAATCGCGGGCGCCCAACCAGCACGTGTAGCACCTCCCCCCCCCCCCTCGCGAGGTCAGGTTCTGCTTGCCCTTCGTCAACTGACGCGCCCCAATCTCTTTGTGCACTGCATTCTTTGATATTATCTTTGCAACGATTTTTTGAGTCTTTGTGTGAAGAAAGCCTATGTATGTATAAAGATAGAAAAACTGTTGCCATTTTGAATAACCTCAGATATTGCTAGACCATCTCTGGGAGCCAGAGGATCGGCAACCCATGAACAAGATCAAGACCGAATAATCAGTGTTTTGATAAAAAAGTTTATTGAGTTAAAAATTTGAATGTTTTTCCTGGCTAAAATATGGAGCCCTATGTTCTCATTGAGCTAAACCACACTTGTACTTTAGACAAACAGAAAGCCAAAGCAAAGACGAAGAAAATCGCGCAAAAGTAAAAGTTTTCAGTGGTTAAGCCCGGAAGCAAACTGCTAAAAAGCGGAGTAGGGAGAATTTTCAAAATCGTGTCTAGGAAGGAGATGAGAAAAGAAACATTCGCATCGGCTATGCCTAGAAAAAACTCACAAAAACGCGTAAACGGCGTCACAGAGTGCGCCTGGAGGCTTATACGTATGCGTTAGCACGCGTGCCATTGATCCCAGACTAGGCAGACCGGGCTCTTGCCCGAGTAATATCCCAAACTGATGCATAGCGGGTGCGGGTAATGATTCGCCCGAGAACCCCTACCCGAGCGGAAGATTGATACATAATGCCACTGGGCTTATCCGCTGATTCCAAATGTGCAGCTTGCAGAACGACATGCCTCACACCACTAAAGCAATTCTGAGGGATCTCGTTGAGGTTTGCGAGATTTGTGACTTAATAAAATTAGCATGATGCTTCGGTTTTTGATTTTCATATCCAGATGCCCAAAAATTTCGTCATCTCAAGTAGAGAAAGTGACACACGCTTCTTGATCCTTTCAATATTTGGCCTTAACTATACTTAAATTACAGCTTCAAAGTTGGATATCAATATTATCTCTTTTCGATGTTCAATATGCAGAAGGAGCAAAGTTCTATTTCTCCTATTCAATCTATTAAATTTTCTACTGTGGAGCCAGGGCAGGAAGATGATCGAATAAAATTATTGAAAAAAACCTATTGCGTGCCTGTCAGAAAACTTCCCTGCTTGCCATAAAAGGTTAAACTTACTAGGAACTGCGCTATCGAATGGTGCATGCCTCAGGCTCCTGTAATAATCGCTGAGTTACGAGCTTACGAAAACATGGATTTTGTCCAGAATGTAAAGATCGCACACATCGTCGACCACGGTGAGCGGTTGTATAACACGGCGACCTAATCTTTCCACATCGCTTGATGGATCTTTTTGTGTTAGACCTGGTAGTTAGATAAATCTGAGCTCTAGCCACAGATTGTTGTGATATACAATTGAGCAGGAAGCACACGCAATCAACATATTCAATACAGTGGGATCCCTTGGGCGAAGTGAACATAATGTTAGCACTCTGAATGTCATACAACTCGCGGTGGAAGTTCGACGATGTGTGCGTTCTTTACATTCTGGGCAAAATTCATGAGGACGTGTTTTCGCAGGCTCGTAATTCGGCGATTGTTACAGAATGGAGCCTGAGGCATGCACCATTCGATACAGTTCCTAGTAACTTTGACCTTTAAAGGCAAGCAGGCAAGTTTTCTGACAGGTGCGCAATAGGTGCACGAGAAATTACGAGCTTTCGTGACTTCGTTACAATTGACTCACCATATCTATGCAGAAAAACCCTATACTGGACAGAGACCACGATTTCCAAAAACAGTGTGTTTAAAAACCTCTATGAGCGGAGTTTCCTTCAAATCAACATTTTGACCAAAACCCACTGGCGAGCTTCACAGCGTGAAACGAGAAAAAAATCAAGTAACTCGAAGTTCTGTGGAAACTTGCTCATAGGGGTTATCGACCTGCTGATTACGAAATTCACATCTGCTTAGCAAGATGGCTTCATATTCTAGGTCTACGACGAGTAGAATTTGAGGCGACAAGATTTTAACACAGTTCATCATCCTCCCTATCCCCTTTGATAGGGAGCCTACGGCTACTTTTTGGCGCTCTATAATTCACAGAAGAAGTACTATCAAAGGGTTTTGCTGTAGTCTATAAGGTGCAATGCGCGCTGCTTTACACCTTTGCGAAAAGAGGTCCGCCGAAAAATTGGAGAATATTGAAATTGATTTATGAAGTACGTGCTGTATATCGGAAGATTCGCCCTGATGAGCTAAGCACAATGTGCTTTTTTCTGAATCGAAATAAATTAATTACGAAAGAAGTTAAGAATTTAGAAACGCGTGATTTTTCCAGAATTCACCAACGCTTCCGCCTTTTTTGGAGAGAAGTCTGCGGTTAGTAATTAGCGCACAATAACCTACAAAAACAGTACTATCGAACAATACTTACTGGAATCTTTTATGTTGGACTAGCTGGCTTACCCGGCTCCGCCGTATCCGGACCAAACTTGGCACACATACACTTCGGGCCCCGGCGAGTGTCACAGTCCACTTTTCGTTATCGATCGATGTCGATTTTACCGATTTTTATCGATTTTTTTGCAGAGTTCGCCTACAGGGCTAGGAGTTGGCACAGGGGGAAGTGAGCATGCAGATCACCCCCCTTGGGGATGATCAGCATGCTCGATTACCCCCCTGTGCCAACTCCCAGCCCCCTAGCTCAAACTTAACAAAAAAATCGATAAAATCGATAAAAGTAATCGATAATCTCGAAAACCAATATTGTATTCGGAATCCCCATGCTCGATTACCCCCCTGTGCGAACTCCCAGCCCCGTAGCTCAAACTTTGCAAAAAAATCGATAAAATCGATAAAACTAATCGATAATCCTGAAAACCAATATTGTATTCGGAATCCCCATGCTCGATTACCCCCCTGTGCCAACTCCCAGCCCCGTAGGTGAACTCAGCAAAAAAATCGACAAAAATCGATAAAATCGATATGGATCGATGACGAAAAGTAGCCTATGACACCTGCCGGGACCCGAAGTGTATGTGTGCCAAGTTTGGTCCGGATCGGTTCAGAAATGGAATTTTCTATTCGGAACATACGTACACACAGACATACATACATACATACATACGTACATACATACATACATACATACATACATACATACAGACAAACAGACATTCAGCTTTATATATAAGAAGAAAAGCGCTGTGTTACATCTATGCGAAAGGACCTTCGCAGAAGAATTTGTGAAAACTGGAAACGAAATATCGAGGGCATGCTGCACAAAAAAATTTGCCTTGACGGGCTGGACACAATGCTGTTTACAGATTCAGATTACATTTATTCCGAAGGAAGTTATGGTGCTGCGTAGTTTGCGTGGTTCCCATTATTCCGCGGAGTTCCCGTGATTTCGCGAAATTCCTGGAATGACGCGGGATTCCGAGAAAGTCGCAATTGGTGGAATTCCCAATTTTCTGCGACGTTCACTGAAATTTTGCAGATTTGGTAAGCGGTATTATAGTGACTCTATACCATGCTACTACATTATCCCTACAATACCATCAGCAGCAAATCAAGGGCAATATTGTTATCAGCACACTGGCCAATCCAACAAAAAAATCTGCAAAATTGAGCGAAAATCTACTGGTAACAATATAGATACCTACTTACCCCGACAGAATGTGGCACATCTACACTAGATGATGCATGCCAAGCTGAGTCGAACGGTGTCCTTGGAATCAGAATAAGTCTATTTTAAAGCGAGATATGGCGATTCGACGGGGAATCGGGCGCACTCTAGTTAAGTGCGCTGCAGTGCGCCGCACTCCACTAGAGTGCGCCCGAATCCGCGTCACATCGCTCCTTCGCACTGCAGCGCACTGTGGCGCCTCTAGTGGAGTGCGGCGCACTCCGCTACTCCCCGGCGCATTCCGCCGCACTCCGGCGTACAGCAGCGCACCGTCTCAGACAATCGCTGGGGGCAGGCGGGCACCGGAAAAATAGATTGCTGATCTCTCGCACCCCGCTCGCGGATTTTTTGCAAAGCAATCAGGACTTTTCGGAAGACCGCTTGCTGAGTCAGCGGATTTTTGAGA